GTTGATTTAAGACTTTCAACTGCCTCAGATGATGAAGGTGTCAATCCTTCAGTTTGTGCATAAAAGTTTTCAAACTGGACTTGCATATCCATCTTATTAATTCTAACGTGATTATCACAAAACTTAGTGCCTAGGGATAATACTTGAAAATCAGTGTCATCAAGAACAACATCAGAAAAATTATAAACATACCGACCAAGGTTTGGCAGAAATCGCATTTCTGGAGTTTTGCTTTCCAGGCTTTGTAATAATTTGGTACGTTTCTTTTCCCTTCTTTTGCCAGAAACCTCATTCACATAATCCAGGAACTCACTCACTCAAATCATGTATCACGGAATTATCAAAGAATGTAACAGAAAGGTTTTATGCTGTGGACAAGCTCCCAGAGCACTTGAAGGAACAGCAGACTACTATTCTACTGGAAAGTCCTATATGAGTAGTAAGTAGACATACACTGAAAATTCAGTATGATGTGTGAATGTATTATTCACATTAAACCTCTCATTATAATTTTTTCAGTAATTTCCATACACTCGAATACCACATTTATCAAGTGGACTTTACAAATAATTGACTTTGCAACTCATCTTAACGCCTTTGTTTTACAGAACTTTAATGTTTGATTCAAGTGCCTGCAAACTGTTTAATTTTATTCAAACAGCATAACTAACATCTTTAAACAAAGTACGAAATGAAGAAATCAACTTCAAAGGAACCGAAGTATCAAAGATTACAAATGAGATCTGTTGTTTTATCCGTAAGTAGTACGCATGTTTTATTCACATTGGTGTGTTTTGCTTAGATGGAAAATCAACTGGTTATCATTTGATAATTCAATAATCAGAGAGTTCATTTCATTTAATTGCAGTCAACTCTTATTCTCAACATGTCTTGCATTATTAGACTATGCTAGATTACCAAGCATTATTTCAGCCTAGAATTGTGGTAATGTAAGATTTCAAGGAACCCTCTAGGATAGCCACCCCACATTATTTCTATAGAATAACTCTCCAATAAACTCAAGAATTACATATTTGTTTAATTATATAACTTACATTCAGTTGAATACCTTTCCCTCTGTTCTGCAATTTCCGTGCCAATAATGCCTCCTTGTACTAATAATACAAGACACATTTGGAACAGTCTCAGAAGCGGCGTCGTTTTCGTAATATGAAATAAATAATGAGTCCTTTCTCAGCCTAGACAACAGACATCCATGCGACTATACTGAAAAACCTCAGGTATTCAAGCAATAAACAAATCCAGTTAGTTCTATGGAATCCTAAATCCGTAAAGCCAAATGCAAACTATTCAAGAACTGTCCAGCCAAGTCATCGTGTCAGCGCATGAATGAATAATGACTTACCTGTCAATAACGAAATGTTATACATCTAATTTCTGGGACACTCTGCTATTTGACATGCGGCTGTCGTCCTTTAATTTTAAAGCAATTGCTGTCAGTCTCAATTTCCTTCTTAAGAGGTAATTGTAGATGGACCTGTCCAACCTGTTCGGAACGATTTTCGTGATGCGCTAGGTCCATGAACCCTACAAAAGCAATGATCTGACACTGGTATTGAAACCTAGATCATGTCCATGTGTCAAATGGTGATGATATCCAGCATGATGTAGGAATAGTGTTCTTCTCTGTATCTTGTTTTCCGTTGCTGAATGGTTCCAACGTACTCGTCCATGCTGCCATCTTTAGTTGAAAATGATGAAGGTTGATGGCTTTTATAATTCACTTTTTGATAATAATTGATGCACTTATTAGTTTATTGAGTGTCGCCGTTATTTTTTTCATCTCCACGCTCACTTGAACCCCTCTCTTTCCTATCTCTTTTGTTGACCCACTTGTTTTTATCTGTGCATTTTCGACTCTGTTTGACAGACGGAAATCATCCAGAATGTCGAAATCTATTTAAATCTATTATGTCTGTCTGACTTCTCACCACTGAAGTCCTGTTTTATGATCTGGTCCACCAGAAATATGAATATTGTCAGTGGTAGTGAGCGGGTATGTTTGATTCTCATATTCACTTGAATGGCTTCCCTGAATTTTCCGTTTTGAATCACTCGGCTCGTGGTATATCCTACAGCTGTTGAATGAGGTTCATGGATGTCTGGAGCAGATTACTTCACGACTAACATTTTAAAAAGTTGTTTCACAGCACTTGGAGTTGGGGTGGAGAGGTCACTGCCAGTTTATACTCTGTTCTCTGACGATGCTTATTATTGTGGTTTGGTACGCACATGATTTTCTCTTCCTGAATCAACCATGTTCAAGTCAAAGTTTCGCGTGCAGAGCCTTTTTTCACATTATGATGTCACTGAATACTCTGCTTGGATTAGAGAGGAGCCAGTGCATGTCAGCCATCACAAAGAGCTAGGTTATCAAGTGTTATCAGTGCAAAAATTTAACCCTCCTTGAAGTCAGTAGGTACCTTTCTCATTGATCTTAATTTTACTGATCGCTTCTCGTACAGCAACCTAGTTATCTTATGCAGTGTTCCTAGGTCTGTCTTATCTGCAGCATATTCTGCTCCATTTGGCAGTGTCATAAACTTGTATTTTGTCTTTCTTAGTACTGTTCGTTATTTCTTTATTCTGTATGTGCTTTGCATTGCACTCAACTTCTCTTTTTGTTGTTCATCCATGCGCTAGTTCATCTTCTGTCTATATATCTCCAGTTACTCTTCTACCTTCCTGGCGCTGCTAGAGAGCAATTCTTTGTCTTTATCCTTCTTGCCTCCCAAGACGGTGTATTCGTTTCCCTAAGCGTCTCTTCCATAGAGTTCTGATCTTTATCCACACATATTCACGCTCATTCTTCTAGCTTTGTAAATCGAAAACTCTTGAAATCTATGTATTGTCCATTCCATACAAGCTTCCAGTGAATTCATCTCCGGTGAATGTAATTTTCCAGACGTAGCTAGACAATTTCAGGTAAATGAAACTTCTCATCATTTTTATGTTCCACAATAAAGTCAGTTTTTTATAAGGACAGTCAACGTAGGTTGAAGGCAAGGCTTTATTTTTCGCACACTACAAATGTGTTAACCAGAAGGCTTTGTTCCATCGATTACAGTGTTTTCTCAGGGTTAGACATGTAGATATCTGCTCGGTGGATTTCCAAATCGCCACCATTTTTGAACGGTAAAGTGCGCTGTAAAACTGAAATTGTGTATCCAAGGAACGCGCTAGTAGTAGATGTTTACAGAAAGAAGATCAGAATGCTGAAAAATAAAAACGGTAGTTGTATTAGGTGGGATATATTTCTGAACATGGATGTTGCATCAGATGACACCATGAAGATGTTAGAAGTTTTCGTGTGTTTCAGGCTTTCTGTGAAATGAAATGAATTTTCCATCGCGAGCAGAGTTATTCCTCAGCGAATTGATTTCAAATCCTCCCTAAGCCAACTAGCAGTTTTATGCTGATGACATTTGATGCCATAAAATAAAGGACTCAAGGATACGTGTTATTTCAAAGTTTTTGGTTGTCAACGGACTAATCACTTGAGGTGGACAGAGTGAGATCCGTGAAAACTTTCGGAGTGTAGAACTATTCAGTTCTCTTTGTGCGTCGGTGGCATAGTGGTTGGAACGCTCGCCGACCATGCACATGGTCCGAGGTTCCATCCCCGACTGACACACCCCTTTACCTCGCTAAGCCAGAAATAATGCTGGTGAAGAGGAAAGGTTGGGCATGAGGCAAGCAACCCCATCCTGTGAAACAAACACCACTGCTACAGAAACTTCAAGCCATTAGCTTGAAGCCCTATATTCCGCTGGGAACGTGAAGGAACAAAGTGAATAATTCAGTCCTCTTTAGGTTAACCAAAGCAATTGCTGTGAAATACCTGAAACCTGAATGGTGTTCACAAAGAGGCGGCTGTCTTTCCTTCCTTGTCCTGGCAACTGGATGTCCTTACTCTCCCTTTTATTTAAAAACGGGATTTTGTCTTGGATGACCTCTCCTTCGCTGTAATGTCTTTTGGTTATTATTGTCTTAGATAATTTTATTTACTAAACTAATCAGTTAATTACTTGTCGTCCTATTCACCACTTCTCGTCCTTTAATTTAATTACCTGATCTTGGTTTGGATGTCTTCTCCTTTGCCGTAATGTCTTTTGGCTATTACTGGTTTAGATAATTTGAGTTACTCAACTAATCAGTTAACTACTTGTCGTCCTATTCACCACTTCTCGTCCTTTAATTTAATTACCTGATCTTGGTTTGGATGTCTTCTCCTTTGCCGTAATGTCTTTTGGCTATTACTGGTTTAGATAATTTGAGTTACTCAACTAATCAGTTAACTACTTGTCGTCCTATCCACCACTTTTTGTCCTTATAACAGAACTCCCTTGATATTGTAACTTGGATATTTTGCTTTCTGTTAAAATTTGAAACTTCAGTGTATAAGGCATAAATGTGTAATTTCTGTGTACTCTCCATCAGTTTTCAAGTCTTTTTTAAGAAAACATCCTGTAACATTCATTGAATGTTAAAATCGTTCCGTACGTGAACTTATCCATCTCGTTAGGCTGCACCTGGCCGATGAAACGGTGACGATATAGGCGATTTCACCGTTTTGTTCCGCTTTATCATGAAATTGCAGTGGCGATTTTTTTATCTGCACTAGTATGCCATTCAGTGATTGATTGGCCAACAGTCAGTGTCTAGTTCTATGTGGTGGATGTAACGTATCAGTCAAGGTGAAACACCATCTGTCGTAATACCTTTTGAACTAATTCTAATGGGTTGTAGGAGACTGAGAGAAATACCTGCACGTATTTCTCGTGCTTACTAGTTTCTCCCCAACTCCATCCACGCAACGAATGTCAGATCATTAGGTTGCTACTGATCATTGATATTTGACATTTGTGTTGAAATAAATGAGAATCAGGAACATATTACCGATTTTATTGAACTTTTAAAAGTAATAAGTACATTGAAATTTGTCATCAAATTATTTTGTTATAATTCCAAATATTTATCTGCATATGTGTCAAATGGATAACTCCCATCTTCCTCCTTTGTGCGATTTATTGAAACGATGAAGATGGCCACCTCCGTTGAAAACAGCAAATGCAGCCAGATAATTAATGATAATAATAATGGTAAAGCTTTATTTAAGACAGTATGCGAGTATACGGTACAAAAATTTTCAGCGTATTCAGTTCCAAAGTACTTTTTTCCTCACACAGGATTCACATATTAAGGTAATAATCTGAAGTATATCCTCATTTCGTTGAAGAATTGTAAAGCGTTTACTTGGGAGCAAGTTAAATCATCGCGCAAGTTTGTGTATAGGTCATTTGATATAACTGGAAGATTAAAACAACGATAAATCCAGATGAAATTAAGCATTTTGGAGGAAAGTAATTTCAGTAGCCCAATGATTTAAGCAGGCCGCCGATGGCAATTATCAGTCCACAGAGTACGTGTTGATTATTTCGAAATGTGAATCGTCTATCACCTAGAAGTGCTTGAACAATGATAGCTATCTCGTGAAAATGATCTTCTGCAACTCCATATCAGAAAAGTGAGCTATCCCATAACTCATTCTGCTCTAACGGTGAATCTTTTAAATAAACCGTGATTCTGTTTCTAGTGCTCCATTCATCCTCTCTAATACTTTGCACCGTATGTTTTAGTATACATTTTGTGCAATCAAATTAACGCAGAGACTGGGAGTGTGCTGTTGTTAGCCTCGTGTCTAACCGGGCTTAGAATGAGTAAGTCAAATAGGAAAAGTGATGAAGACGCCCATCTACCCATTCGAATCCAGCTGTCCTTACCCTGTAGGTGGCTGAATTGCCCTACATACGAGTAATCAGTACTTTTAAGGACAACATCACATCCATACACTCAGTGTGTTCTTGGTTGAAATCTGGGTTACAGAAGTAGATTATAAACTCTTCAGTTGACAGTGGAGTGTCCACTAGAACTTCATCTCTCTTACAGGTTTTTAAGATTTCTGTAAGATATCCGATTGCTCATTCTGCTGTCAGCGCAGTCCTCTCAGCTTTAATTATACCTTGAGTGTTCCACGTCCTACATTTCTTTTCCATCGAAGAAAGATGGATAGGTTGATTGACGTCAAGGAGCGTTCATTGCCAGCGACGTTTATGCTTCATGTTTCCAGAGAGAAAGAGGTTTTTCGTTCACACGTTAAGGTATCGATAGTGATCCTTCTGGTTTACATGCGGTGTCACTCCCAGCTTCAAGATCATTCTACATTCTTCCCGTAGATTACTAACGGTTGGTAAGCTGTATCCCACCTCCACCAAGGGCACAGTGATTAGGACTCTCCCCGACCATGCACATGGTCCGAGGTTCGATCCTCTACGGACGCACACCTGACATCTATGGTCGGTCTGCAAAATTTGGGCTAACGATATCCATGCTGAAAATTCCATACTTGTACCAAAAATACAGTGTGGAATCAAGCTGTAAATAAAAAAAATCAAATTCTTTTACCACATTTCATTAGTGACAGATAATTTTTAATTAAGACCAACTCATAGTTCATCTGATTACTTACGTCAAATTCTCGCCAGAATATGAAAGGGAAGAATATTATAACAAAGGCTAATTCCACAATGAAAGTGACAAGTATGAACTCCCCAAAACTTTTGAGCACATCGAATCTGTTGACGACACTGACAGCTACTACAATCCCAGCAATAACCACAGTAATTGTCCATATGACAAATGTCCACCAGAATGGTAAGTTGATGAGTGGAACAGCTGCAGCAAAGGCAACGATTATTGTCTGTGTTGGGGGGGGGAATGGAAAGGAGTCAATATTGAAGAGAAAAATGAAATACAACTATTCCAAAAAAGTGATCTTCACAATGAATGAATTTTCTCAACTGATTTTGATGAATGAAGTCAGTTGGATGGAAGCGGTAAACTGTATCCTTAAGATTATGGGTGAACCATGAGATGGCGTGCATACACTGGATCAGCGTATACTACATGCTGATAACAGTTACAATAATAGTTGCACTACAGAACCCAACCAACATGGCGATGGTTTCACTCTGGTTGTCAGTGATTACGAACATTGAACGTTTGTTCATGGGCCTTGGTCGCCATTGGAGGGCAAATGGAAGGCGCGAATGATTTAATCGTGTACAATTTAGAAAAACAAAGACGAAAGAATTCAAACAAAAGTGCAATACATTCCTTGTAAAACAGTTGAATATAGACTCAGTACAGGGTATTGATTTTAACTGCCGAAGAATACAATTTCTCGTCATTCACAGAGTCTTCGGAAATAATAAGAACTTAGGATTAAGTTCCTTGACACTGAAATTTGCACAGCGTTGAGACATGCCAGTTGTGAAACGAATTGCGCAAAGGTATTCAGGCCGTGGGTCTCTTTCTACTTCCCAGAAAGCATTTATCCAGTCAATTGCAAATAACTCAGATAATAAGTGTTAGGCGACAGGAAGAGATAAATCCTTATCTTTAGGTTTCAAATAAATCATTTGTTGTCGAATGCACCTCTAAATTTCTATCTCTCGTTCTGCATCTATAATTCACTCTGCAATACCAAAGGTGATCGATTGGATTCAAACACATGTCCACTCTAACTACAATGACACTGGTTTAGCCATGATACTACAAGAAACTAAACACCCATCTATTGTGAAAATATTGAGGAATTCATGTTCATTTCTACTTTCAATGATGTGTGTTGAAACCTGATCACATAAACTTCTTCCACTTTTATATTTCACTGATGTGTTCACACTATGGAGTGAGCGTTTCAAGAGTGACTTCAGTAGCTTTAATATTTTTACTATTTGTTGTTCCAGTCAGTTGGAAATCTTAACCCTAGTTTATCTCTATTTCTTTCATATTTGACCACCAGATATAATTAGGCGTCAGGATTTTCAGCTCTCAATTCGCTTCTTGAGGATAACACGACTTCTTTCTTTCTTTTAGTGTAAAAATTATCCCTTGTCTGTTTCACTTAAAGATATTGCGTAATTTTTATGTAGAGTTACATGAAAGGCAACAAGCGAAACATGCACTTATAAGAACATCTAAGGTCAGACAAACAAGAGCAAAATATCAATGTGAATATAGCACTTTCATAAAACCAGTTGACTTAAGATTGTGAATTGCGAAACGCATTCCACTTACAAGTAGACGTAATTAAAGGGGAACCGAACTGTAACTGAGGTATCAGCAACATTTCAGTGTAGAAATGTTCCCAGAATTCTGTATTGTTACAAACAAAATCAATGACAGTTAAAAATATTTGGATTATGTAGATCAAGTTGGACAGGATGCGGATAGAGGATAATTGACATCTCCTCTTACTGTATCGACTTAATATGACGATTTCTACCAGATTACTTAAATTACGCTTCATTGTATTCTTTCGAATGATGGGTAGCCGAGTAACATTGGTAAATGGGATAACAATAACTACTTATACTGGCAAACGTGTAGCACTCACATGAATACGTTTCATTTTCACATGCAAGAGCATATTTCTTATAATCCTACAACATATTCAGTTACTGAAGTTCAGTCTTTTGATTTGTGAGACACTATTGGTTGGAATGAAATATTGAGTTAGTCATGTAATTGATAGGTACTATTGTTCTTCAGTCTTTTCCACTTAGTCTATCATCAATATCGATCGTCTACCTGATTGCATGGTGGTTTCAATGTTAATGATAGCTTGATCAAACAGACACTCAAGTCCACCTCACCATTTTGAATTGTAATGGCTTATTCAATGTTCCTCTCTTGACCTGATTGTTTACGGTGTACCAAATTATGGGGTGTATAATAAATTGGGTGATAAATTAAGAATGCATAAAACGTAAGTGTTATACCTACCCGCATGTCCATGAGAACCAAGAATTTACTTTCATCCATTCACGAAGCACCGAACTTTAAAAATTTCCATTAACGCAATCAGTCAACAACACACAACGAACACAGGTAACACGAGAGCGCAGATTCCCCACACAATTGTTATCTGTACTGATACTATGATGTACGTCTTTGGGAAACAATGAATGATATGAACATCCTTTGAAAAATGAAACAAATAACTTCCAAATGAACTCCCTTGTTCTTCATTCAACCGAAAACTGATTGGAAAGAGACTTGATTATTTCGGTTATAAGTGATAACAACGGGGAACATACCTCCGTGTTGTTTTGCAAATTCACTGAATCTTGTATTGAAGGTAGTTCATCTGCTGGAGTAAATGGGAGAATTGTTCGTTTTCCATTTTTGACTGATGATATTTAACAATGATTCATAATAAATTTAAAAAAGAAGACAAGAAAAGAAGAACATTTGATGGTAAACTCATGTAAAGAGAGCGATACGCTCCTATGCATTATGTCTCTTTACAATGAACTACCCGAGAATTCGTGACTCAAAGAATATAGCTCTAATCAAATGGTGGAATGCAAGGAATCGGTTTGTTTCATTTTTCATGCCGATTTAACTAGTTAAGCCAAAGTTTGCATGCTATGACTTAGCTACTAAACGTTTTCCCTTGAACTTTCAAGTTTCAAAACTGGAAAGCAGAACAGTATGATGTGATTTACAGTACACTTTGATTCCTCTAAATATTCAGATTTTACTGCTGTCACAGGTCAAATATATGATGTGGGTGTCTCAAGTATTCCAAGAACAGTTCTTTTGCAACGTTATACATTCCAAGTTACAAAAATTCGTGCAATATATGCTGAAAATGTTCAATTCACAGTGTTCAGAGGCTTATTCATTTTAGAGTGAAGATCACTAGATATGGCTGTTGCTCTTATTTACCCCATGTCAGTGAGCATTTTCTCAGGTATCGAGTTAATCTTCCGGACAGCAAAATCAACTAGGTAATTACAAATACTCACATTTACAGTCATCTGAAATAAGAATGTTCACCCAACACAAGGTACTATCACCCAGTAAAACAACTCTTACATGACTTAGCGAGTTGAATAGTAATATGTAATTACCCATATTTTATGCATAGTCATGTATTGAAATAGAATCTTCGGAATCACAATGTTGAATGTCACAGTATCTATTGAAGTATGAAAATATACTGAGACATATTCTTGTAGTTTACTTGTAGTTGTTTGATATCACACGAATCAGCGTGGTGATCATGAGTATTAAATTACCCAGCCTATTCTGATTGTGATTATCCTACGTCTGATAAGTCATAATGGTTGACAGTTTGCATCAGTCTTTGAAGACCAAATTGGATTTTCATGCACTTTTTGTCATCTCAATTCATTCTGGGTATGATCTATTCTGCATGGTTATAAAATTAACTTAGACACTTTAAAAACAAACACTACAGTTGTCGCATCGATATTTATCCCTCATTTGAGATAGTGTTAGGTGAGGCGCAAACCATGTGCAAGTAAAACCCAGTTGACCAGTTAAAATGGAGAATCTTGATATATATTAATGTATGATATCCAAGTATATGAAAGCACTGTTGTCTGGCACATTCAAATCTGAATATTCCAGATAGATACTTCAGACTTGTTCTTCCCATAATTTGACAAAAGTTAAGATACTTTAAACAACTCAAGGGACAAGTCTATGTGTTGCGTTACAATTTACAGAAACCTAATATTGTCTCTCATGTCAGTTTCAGTATATTCATTTCGAAAATATCCATGTTTCTGGTGAGCATGCTACGACTTATTCATTGCGTCAAATGTACCTCAGATATACTTTAAGTTCTTCAACTTTCAACACTGTGGTGACTAACCGCACTTCCAAACCTACTGCAGTGAGAACATGGGTGCCCGATTCTGATTAGAATCTTTCGGTCATATAAGGAATATAGAATCACTGATTTTCAAAGTGGCTGATTCAGTCAGAAATATCTCAAAATATTAGGCAACAAATCAGTGACTTATTCATGTGTCAAATTACCCTCAGAAATACATTTCAGTCGTCACCCTTTAAAACTGTCCATGACTAACTACATTCCCCCACCTATTTCAGTGAGTATATACGTGTTCAATGCTGAATGAAAACTTTGAGTCAATTAGTGAATAAAGAATCACTGATTTTCAAAGTGGCTGATTCAGTCAGAACTATCCCAAAATATTAGGCAACAAATCAGGGATTCATTCATGCATCAAATTAAACCTTACAGACGTTTGTTAAAAAGGACACTTTATCTTTGATATATGGAGGATGCCGTCGCCTTTGAATAAGACTTGGTTTTTGTTGTCGTTCATCAGATACACCACACTAACATGAAACGTGAAATGAGGTCATGAGTAGTACGTCATCATAATGAACAGTCTCATGTAAGCATAACAACTATGAGAGCTGGAAATAAAACTTTCTGGAATAAACTTTCAAGTGTACAATGAAATTCACATATAAAAATTTAAACTAACCCTCGTTTGATGAAGTTGTCATTGTCAAAATTGTAATAAGTGCAGATATTTCGAAATAAATGTGCAATTCGATTTAAAAATGTGAGAATATTTGAAAATCAGTCAAGGCAAATTTATATGAGCAAAATTGTTGACATCAATGAATTAAAACATGAACTTTGATAAATTAATAGAAACAACCAATGAAATAGCTTGATTGTAGTCAATTGAAATAAAAGCTACACTCCTTCAAACATTGTCTGAGAAGACATGTAAGAATGAAGCCTTTTAAGTCTATCAGAAACCACAAACCACGTTAATTAGATATCGCAATTAAAGGGGTCTACTCTGAGCAGATAAACAGACCAGAATCGAACTACCATGGCATGATGGCAGGTGGAGAGTCAATGAACACATCAGACACACTGAGTAGTTACTCCGCCATACTCCTAAACGAATAGCGTGAGAAATGGAACATTATATGAAAAGAAATATACCGTTGTAGACATTCGAAGTGGGAGCCAAGTAACTAGAGGGCGAGTGTAGGAAGAATAACAAATTTTAATCTATAGGTTGAATTGATATCTCTATTCTACTTCTTGAATTGAAAAAGGAACAGCATGAGAAATGGGCTACACATAGGATTCAAACTCTACGTGTAAGCGTCTGTTCAGCCTCATAGAATGCCTGTTCACTGATTTTAGGGTTGTATTATCGTCACAGTACTTCTGCATTCTTCATGTTACTATTAGAACTGATTGGTGAACATTGGTGTTTTATGAGTCAGCTGAACTGGATGGTGAAGTGAATGACATCGGAATCTGTTAATTCAGAGTGCGATTAAAGACAGTGGTTTCCACGAATCGAGGAGGCCATATGCATTCCGCCTTATTGGTGAACTTAATTGATTTCAGGGCTGAATATGTAGTACGCAACTGGTGATTTGGAAGGTATTACGTATTTCGATGACTGACTGATTTACGGATTTTGTGTTTCAGCTAGTCAGATAACTTATACGTTGCAGTGTCCATGATATCTCGTGAGAGACAAGTAGTTTAAAAGTGGCAATGTTTATGTACCCTCAAACTCAGAGTGATCAAGACTACATCAACGACTGACCCTGCCTAACCATCGAGTTTCAGCTAACTGCAACCTTAACCGACTTCAAATCAGGAGTGTTTGAAAGTGCAGCTGTGTTAGTGGAAAATAGTTCACGGTTTTACTTCTACTAAATAAAAAGGCGAAAACCGCATTCCTTGCTCGACTCACCTAATCTTTCTTGCTCATTTCATCCCATTCTCTCCAGTCCTGTTTGTTTGGCTATACGGCTGCCCGCATGCTCTCATCGCCCCCCCCACCAACATTATCTCTTTCACTTCACTTTGTTTGCCTAACTCGCCATTTACAATTGGTGTTATATTTGACGGTCTGGCATACGATATAAGTATAAAACTTGGGCACTGTGATGGTAGAGTATAACTCCATTTTGGATAAGATTTTATTTTGATAAATCACACAGTGTCGTACAGTAATATTAACTGATGACGTTTCAAGTTGATATGATTACGAGCAATAGATTGTTCTCGAAACGCCATCAGTAATTATTACTGCACAACACTGTGTGATTTATCAAAATAAGATCTTATCCATACTGGCATACGGTGTCACTCAACTTTCTCCTCAGTGTGGGTCATTGTTATATTTCACAGCATGCTTTCATTCTTGAATAGTAGTCATGTAAATTCAGAAGAATTGATGAGATATTCAGAAGTTTGTGTTAGGTATTTTAGTTCCTCGCCGAGTAGTATTTTGGGAATTTTGGGAGCTCGACCATATATGTAACCTCGATATTTGAGAAAAATGTTACCTCCTCCAAAATAATCTGCTTCTATTAAGACTGCAGCTCTTCCATTTAATTCATATTCCAATATTCGATATACTTCATTTTCATCAGTCTCAGTGGCTTGCATGAGATCAAAAGGTTTTGCGTTGCCAGTTCAGCGGTAGAAGGCTTGTCAACCATGGAAGAGCCATGTGTTCAGGTCCTAGTAATGCATTAGTGGATCTAGTTTATTCGCCTGTGATGAGTTTTGAAATCGCCGGAGGATGGGCATAAAGTCACCATCACTGATGAAACTTCAAAGCAATTCTATTAGTTGGAATCAGGAATTTGAGAAAAGCGGAGTCTAATTAAGGCTTAAATGACATCAATCTAACAATGTATCCGTTTCTATGAAAGCAAATGTGACTTTGTGGATTTGAGATGTCCACACAGTGTTTGCGTCAGCTAGAGCTGGTCATATTGTAGAGGAAATTGAGATCATATGATACAGAATCGTTTACACTCTAGAGCAATCGAAGAACTTAGCTATTCAAATAGCCAACTGGAAATTCAATAATCTACTTCTGTCATCAGAATGACAACCATTAGCACAGTGTCGATGCTACTATTGTGATGTTGTCAGCGGCTGTTGTGAAGTGGAAACCAATAGCCTCCAGGACCACGATAGAAATATGCAACTCAAAACTAAGGCAGACACTTCATAATCTCGTGAAATTGCAAATACAGACTACTGGATGAAAGATCGAAAAGAGAATCGCATACAGATTCATATCACTACCCAGCGTAGGGAATCTTCAAGATCCGGTGCAAAACAGTGAAAGAAGCTGGAGATGGAAAATAACTGGAATGTTCATCATGCAAATAATAATATTCAAACATGTCATTCTTGATTTCAGTGGTGATCTAAGCAACAGGTAAATATGTTGGCTAGAAATTGGGTACTGCTTAGGATACCTCAGAATCTGACAATCACCGGATTGATCGCACACCATAGAATCTAGCCAAATATAATACTAGAAGACAATCTGTACACAAGACGCAAACGTCCGTCAGTGTGAGGCTCGTTCTGATTAAGAAAACATCAGATAAGCGACCGTGTATATAGTCTGTAGTTCGATTCCCGGTCGAAACACTCCTTTACCCCCAAAAAAAACCAAAGGAAGGTTAACCCCCGTAAAAAAAACTACAAACTTCAAGACTATTTTGAAGCCTTATGTTCCACTGAGAACTTGAAGTAAAGAAAAACAACAGAAACTGATGCGATTAAAACATCAACACTTTTTTAAGATTAGACTAATAGATTTTATTTCTAGACCTGATTCTCGGCTTTCCTAAAGATGATTCTCGCGATAAGTAATTTGTCCTCGGATGTTCGTTATGTTCTCTGTAAATTCAAACAACTTGCCGACACTTAAACTGAACACCAAAGTAAACTAAAATCAAAGCCTTAAGCTAAGTGACGGAAGTCAGTTATTTGTAACATCTGTCTGAAAAACTTGATATTCAGTGTATGAGAATTGCTGTAAACACTAAATGATGAAAAACAACAATAATAATAATATTCTGAACAGTTCATCTATACAGAATACGAAATTTTCAGAGTATTTTTTATTTATTACTTATACAGAATTTTCAAGTAGACTCATTTCGTGTTCTATATCCTTTGAAGTATTTGCAAAACACGGCGAGTGTAAAAGATTAAATATGCTTCAGATCTAACAATAGGAGTTACATAATATATTTTAGATCCTGGGTGTCGATCAGATATTTTGTGATAAGCTACTCTTCGAATTCTGCATAATGTGTAGATATACTGTTCGGAATATAGCTGCCGTTATCACCATGCATTCAAGGTAGAACATTGCGCTCAGTAACAATTCTCTAACGTAATCTCGATTCTGTCGTCAATTTCGGGTGAGTATATGATTTTAAAATTCCAGTTATTTTCCATCTCCAGCTTCTTTCACTGTTTTGCACCGGATCTTGAAGATTCCCTACGCTGGGTAGTGATATGAATCTGTATGCGATTCTCTTTTCGATCTTTCATCCAGTAGTCTGTATTTGCAATTTCACGAGATTATGAAGTGTCTGCCTTAGTTTTGAGTTGCATATTTCTATCGTGGTCCTGGAGGCTATTGGTTTCTACAAAGTCACATTTGCTTTCATAGAAACGGATACATTGTTAGATTGATGTCATTTAAGCCTTAATTAGACTCCGCTTTTCTCAAATTCCTGATTCCAACTAATAGAATTGCTTTGAAGTTTCATCAGTGATGGTGACTTTATGCCCATCCTCCGGCGATTTCAAAACTCATCACAGGCGAATAAACTAGATCCACTAATGCATTACTAGGACCTGAACACATGGCTCTTCCATGGTTGACAAGCCTTCTACCGCTGAACTGGCAACGCAAAACCTTTTGATCTCATGCAAGCCACTGAGACTGATGAAAATGAAGTATATCGAATATTGGAATATGAATTAAATGGAAGAGCTGCAGTCTTAATAGAAGCAGATTATTTTGGAGGAGGTAACATTTTTCTCAAATATCGAGGTTACATATATGGTCGAGCTCCCAAAATTCCCAAAATACTACTCGGCGAGGAACTAAAATACCTAACACAAACTTCTGAATATCTCATCAATTCTTCTGAATTTACATGACTACTATTCAAGAATGAAAGCATGCTGTGAAATATAACAATGACCCACACTGAGGAGAAAGTTGAGTGACACCGTATGCCAGTATGGATAAGATCTTATTTTGATAAATCACACAGTGTTGTGCAGTAATAATTACTGATGGCGTTTCGAGAACAATCTATTGCTCGTAATCATATCAACTTGAAACGTCATCAGTTAATATTACTGTACGACACTGTGTGATTTATCAAAATAAAATCTTATCCAAAATGGAGTTATACTCTACCATCACAGTGCCCAAGTTTTATACTTATATCGTATGCCAGACCGTCAAATATAACACCAATTGTAAATGGCGAGTTAGGCAAACAAAGTGAAGTGAAAGAGATAATGTTGGGGGGGGGGGCGATGAGAGCATGCGGGCAGCCGTATAGCCAAACAAACAGGACTGGAGAGAATGGGATGAAATGAGCAAGAAAGATTAGGTGAGTCGAGCAAGGAATGCGGTTTTCGCCTTTTTATTTAGTAGAAGTAAAACCGTGAACTATTTTCCACTAACACAGCTGCACTTTCAAACACTCCTGATTTGAAGTCGGTT